CACAAACCCATTCCCATGCCAGGATCCCAATCCCACACCGGGATCCCAATCCCATGCCACGATCCCATTCCCATGCCAGGACCCCGCATCTCTCCAGGGCTCTGGGATTGATCCTGGAATATTTACAGCCTGGAATTAAAGTGGAAAACACGTGGGAAAGGGAAAATCCAGGACATTTCATTGGACATTTTTCTTAAACAAAAACATTGGGATTTTTCATTCCCAAGTCAGATTTCCCGGGAGAGCTGAAAGTGAAAATCATCCCTTCAGGAACTGGGAAAAGCCAGGCCTGGAACTGGAGCCTGTTTAGAGGGAATTTTTTCCCTTGGAAATCAACGAGGGAAAAATCTTCTGCTTCCCACCCTTGGTCTGGCTGCAGCCAGGGAAAGAGGGGATGGATCCATGGATCCATGGATGATGGATGGATGGATGGATGGATGGATGGATGGATGGATGGATGATGGATGGATGATGGATGGATGATGGATGGATGATGGACGATGGATGGATGATGGATGGATGATGGATGGATGATGGATGGATGATGGACGATGGATGGATGATGGATGGATGATGGATGGATGGATGGATGGATGGAATCCATGGATGGATGATGGATGGATGGATGCAATCCATGGATGGATGGGTGGGTGGAGCTGGGGCTGTGGTGCCTGGTGAGGATTTCTCTGCACTCACACCACGTTCTGTTCTCTCCCGTCCCAGCGAGGAAAAGGCCAAGCTGCTGCGGGACGTGATGGCCAAGATCGAAGCCAAGAACGAAGTGCTGGAGTACGTGAGGGGCCCGGCCCTGCTGCCCCACGGGGTCCCGGTGCTCCCGAGCCTCTGGCAGGGGGGACAGTGCCACCCCTCAGGGGCCCCTCTGTGTCCCACAGCCAGTTCATGGACTCCATGCAGCTGGACCCCGACACCGTGGACAACCTGGACATGTACGAGCACATCCCGCCCGTGCTGATGGAGAAATGCGCCGCGCTCAGCGTGCGCCCCGACACCGTCCGCAACCTCGTCCAGTCCATGCAGGGTGAGG